TAAAATTCAAATTGCCAGATCCAGCAAACCATGACTAAAGACCCTTCAAGAGAGGAGGGGGAGAGAGTTCCATGTCAATGGGCTACTGTTTGAAAAGGTCCGATGCACACATGTCAGAACTGTATAGGTTAGTGGCGGTGACTGTGGCTGAGCAGAAGCTGGTCATTTCCTATATAGGTATTTCCCGGAAGGAGGCAAGAGATAGAAACAGGCCTACCCAGCTGCCCTCGGTAAATAGGGCAGAATGTCTGTCCCTTCAGTCCAAAGTTTCTTTAGACTGAAACTAGCTGTATAAAAGTCTCCGATTCTAGATTGTGCGGCTGGGTAAGTCAGTTTTAATCCAACCTGAAAACTTCTCTTACAGCTGTTTCTCTGGGGGCAGTGGCTTTGTATGGGGATCGTCTCTTCAGGAATCTGTGAAGTTTACAGATCACTCTGCACACATAGTAAGCCGTGGTTTAAGTTGGTATAACATAATTAGTCATGAAGTAACAAAAATATTTTGCATGTTGTGATGTATGAATCCAGAAAGTGCAGAGCGCTACCATATCCAGATGGACACTAAAGAAATCAGGCTGGCTAATGGCGATTTATCTAGCTGACTTCTTAGCATCATCCTTGGCCATACCTTAACTGCAAGATGGGCTTTTCAAGGCTAAGTCTGTTATTTCAATTTGAAGCATCCATTTTTCTGATGTGTTCGCACAACACACAGAATTTATCAGACCACAATTTAACCTAGTATATTGTGTGAATGCATCTTGTGTGGTTAACAATGGTTTATATACGTACAGTATACACTTGTATATAACTCAAGATAATTAAATGCTGTGAAAATCCTGTGGCTGCGCGTTGAAATCCTTTCCATATGTGATGGAAAACTAATCTCTGATAGGCAATGTTATATAATTTTTAATAATTCCCTTTTTTCTTTATGTTGCCAATATATTTATTATAGGCTCAAGTCGTCAGTAGACTGTTGAAACAGATTGCAATATGTAAAGTACATTTCTCTTTCAAATGCAGCAGTTCCATTTGAATGGGTTAAAGGAAACAAAATAACTCTCCACCTAAAATAATAAGAGTTAAGTTTATATGCTTAATCATCTTGCAGATCATAATGTTTTTCTGATTTGTACTATGCTGTGCTTTGGTAAAGGATGATAATGATGCATAGGAATATATTGTATGCTCAATAAATTGAACTGTTGTTTTTCATTAATCTGTAAATCCTTTGAATACCCATTAAGAGTATTTTGTAACAACTGGCCAAATCTTATTGTATAAGATTAAAGATTGGGCTAAAATAATTGGCATTTCTGCTGCGAGACTAATGAGCTTCTGGGTGCACATTCTGGTCTAAAACTACAAGGTTTCATATATGAAGATTGAATGAAAAGTAATGCCTCCAATGGACGGTGACTGGGCCTGTGTCTTTAGACCCACATTCCTGATTGTCCAAGAGCCCTCTTGAGCCCTGCTTAATAGCTTGTGATCTCACAGTCTTAACTCCTTTTGTCATACAGCTCAGATTTGATGTTATGCAATGTTCATCTATTCCCCAAATTGAAAGAATCCTTTATGGGCATCTGTTTAGGTTTAGAAATATTTAAAAGGATTTCTGAACAAAGAATGGGAACAGGTTGTCTTGTGAGCATTACTCTTGTGAGTAATGTATAAGTAGCTTGATGTCAGTTCAAGTGAAAGGCAGACTTTAGAATAAATTTCCTAGGACAACCATGACTCTTTCTGTTGAATTTTGAAGTAAAGGGCAGGCAAACCATCATTAAGTGGTCAACTGCAAACCATTACACAGCTTGGGTTTTGAGTGGGGCTGTTGTTTTAACCTTGGGAGCTGAGGTTGAATGCTACAAGTTTGTTTTTTTAATCTTTGTACACTCAGAGTCACCTCTGTGACATGGGTGGCCAAACAAATCATATACATAGATAAAATGAATTACAGGGTTTAAAAAATGAATAGACATATAGAGTTAGCTGTATATTCATTTGCAGCAAATAGTTACTTGGTACATGAACTTACTCTGAAGTAAAGTAAAGATAATGTCAGTCCGGCTTGACTGCTAATGACTTAATGCAAATTTGATGTGTCCACACTGTAATCACAACATGGATATATGGCAGTCCAGGGTGGATAATAATAAAATGTTTTTTTAATTTTTTTTTAAAAAATCAGATTGTTTTTATTTAAATTGGATTTTTTATTTTTATCAAATTTATTTTAATAAAATGCTTTTAGAGTAAAAATCTATCTAAAGATAGTTTTCTATTTAAAATGCATTAATAATTTAATTTATTCAGCATGAAATGGAGCTTAGTTATGTAGCATGAGGCTGTATGTTCTGCAATATTTACATTTTTGGTAAACTCATTCAATGAATCCAAGCTCTGCAAGCTGAGATAACAGGCACTGCATTGATGCATTCACACAATAATATTAAAGATTCTAACTACCAGCAAGAATGAGTCCTTACATTTAAAGAGCACCTGTCATTTCAGATCCATCATGGCAGCGCCTGTTAGCAGGCATCCACTCACCTGCTGCCCGCCAAGTCCCTTACCTTGCTGTGTCACTGCCGCATCACCAGCTGTCCCATTAAAGTGAGTGGGACTGTCGGTGAGTCAACAGCGGGTCAGAGGAGGAGCTGCTGTGGGACAGAGATGACAGTTGCTCTTTAAAAATTATGATTTAAATCGAGTTGATTTAAATAAAGTCTTTTTACTAGTGATTTAAATCATGATTTAAATCAACTTGATTTAAATCAAATCCACCCTGTGGCAGTTAATAGGTCTGTGGTGGGCAAAAACGTTTTGGAAATTAGACTGTGATAGTGTTGGTGGGCAAAAAAGGAACACAAACTAAAAAGTTTCCTCCACTGGTTATCTGTCTTTTATTAGTAGTAATCAATTTTTAGTAGGGGCCTTTCTTTTCTTTTTCCATGTTCTTAGTCCTACATAGAACTGGATTCTATTTTGCAAGATGGCTGTGCCCGTTTTTGCTTGTCTTTTGGTTTGCATAGAGGTTGTTATATGTTGTTAATTCTCCTAATCATCTCCCTTCAGAATTCATTTGATGTTCTTATAATTTTTATGCTGTACATATTGTTTGCTGTCCCCGTTTCTTTTGTCTCAATTTCTCTCTTCTTCTGAGAGAATTTGATTAATCATATGTTTGCCAACCCAACACTCCCACATTCTTCTTCAATACTTCCATCCCCTACCCCCCCCACCCCCAGGATCCACTTTTGACCCGCTTCCATTTCCCAATATGACAATCAGATTTAGGGAGAGTTTTTCATCACACAACTATTTATTTTCTCTGTCTTGTTTTGTCATTATGATTTTCAGTCCTGATTCTTCGACTTCTTCTCTCTGTTTAAAAAATTGGTCCTTTTTTGTCTCTGCCCTTAGTTCTGAGGCCTTTTGTTGGAAGAGGGTCTAGCAACTCTGTTCTCTGCTCCGAACAGACCCTTTTGTCTACTTGCAGGTGCTACTGAAACTCAATGGAGGACTTCACTCGCCTGGGTTACTGCATTGTGGCTGGCAGCTTCGTAGTCTTCCAGTTCTCCTTTTCCGCCCTCAGCCCCCAGCTGTCCTTGTCCTTGAGCCCCAGCTACTCCAGCCTTCCTTCGGTCAAGCAGAGTGAATGGAATTCCAGGTAGAGAGAGGCTCTGGTGGATGTGGCTGGACGAATGGTTGCGAGATTTGCAGTTCTCTCGCCTTTCCACTGTAAGAATCTCTATGGAACTTGAGAGGTTATGTTCCACGCCTAGTGTGCTTTGCACAGAATAATTGTGTGCATATTGCAAGAGAGAGATTGTTGGCTAGGGCTGCAATTATGAAATAACCCTTATGTGTTCTCCTCTTTAGATGTGTGTCTACTCTCCATGCGGTGATAGTCGGCCTCTTCTGCCTCTACATCCTTTGGTATGATGATGCTATAAATGCCAACCCCATCTGGTAAGAAATTACAGGCAACTGACTTGCACGCATGTCTCCTGGGGCACACATGTATAGATTTGGCAGCCTGCTCTCCCTGGCAAGAGAGAGAAAGAGAGGAAGAAGAGGAGGTGCCTATGAGCCTGATTGCTTTCATTGTGTTGAGAAGCACAAGGACTGTTTTATGCTGAGAAAGAATAAGCCTTTGTTATACTTTGATTTTAGGATGTGAGGGGTGGAAACAGGGTCACTCTAGGCAAGAGGATTTGAACTGGCCCTGGCATTGAGCCTAAAAAGGTGCAAACACTCCTCCCCAAGCCATAATCACTCCTTTAATCCCATTCCACACATGCCCCATAGATCTATGCCTCCTTTTTCAATGAATGGGCTGAGCTGATAGGAGATTCTAAAGCTAAGAAGGCACTGATGCCATTACTGTCTCTGTCTATAGCACACCTTATCTTTCTGCTCTTTCTCCCCAATTCCTGTTTGATCCCACTTGTCCAGTTTCCTTGTTTGGCCTTGCACATGGCATGACTGAAAGTCAGGGCACTCTAGAATGAACTGCTCATTCAAGATTTGGCTGCAGAAGACTCATGGATAAAACTTGACTAGATAAGCTATTTTAAAATGAAGCCTAATACAGTACAAAGGGGTGAAAAGGTATATGCTTGTGCTTCGGAATTTAAGTCCTAGCCATCTTCCTTTGTCTTCCCATCTCTTCAAGGTGGCTGGAGTTGAAAGATTGACGTAACAGTTTTCTCAAGCCTGGAAAATAATGGTTCCTGCTGTAGCAACTTCACTCCTGCCACCAATCACATTTTGCTAACAAATGGCTTGGCCTTAAATTAGAATTTCATAGAAACATATTAATACCTCTGCTTATCATCTCTTGTGAGTCACCATTCCTCATGGACATTTTGAGTTAAAGATTGATTTTCTACCTTGAAAAATGAGGTGGGAATTCTGTGGGCATTTCAAATAATAGAATTAACCATACAGGACAGTAGTTCAGAAACATATTATTACTAGACATGAGAACAAAGAAAGAACACAGGTGGTTGGATCCAGGAGAAGGCAGAAATAAATCTAATAACTATATGATGATTTATTACTCCATCGTTTACAATAATTCTATAGGGTAGGACACCATTTAATTTTATCAGGATTTTATGCTATTTTATATTGGGGAAGGGAATGAAACAGAATAATGAAAGCAGTATTGTATCTTTGTGAAAGAAACCTTGCAAGTTTTGTTTTATATGTCATAAAGTCACACACATGTACAAAATACCCAGAGCTTCCAATACAATGCTGTAACAGTTCTTGTGTCATTCTGACAAATGCAGCAAGCTCCTTTGGAAGCTGCTTTTGTATGTGTGTAGGGGTTGTACATATGAATGTATATGTACATGTATATGTGTATGTGTACATATACATATGTATCAGTTTATGTACATGTATGTGTGTACAATACATATATGTATCAGTTTAGCAACACTGAAAAATATAGGCCCAGAAATAAGTTGGTTGATGCTAAAAGAAACTCTGAATGACTAGGGTGGAAATGACTTAAAAAGTCCTTTTTCCATAATGCCACATGATGTTGCCTGATGGAGGGTGGGGAAGAAATGGGCATCTAATGAATTAGAAATGGGGTTCCTCTCTCAATATCAGATCTTTGTCTTTTGACCTTGTTTCCATTCATTCATTCTTGTAGGGGAGATCCTTGGTTGGTCAAACTGAATGTAGCTGTCACTTGTGGCTATCTGCTCTATGGTAAGCACCACATCATTGGGTTTCACAAGGTAGGCTGGAGGGTTTATTTTATTATTTTATTTTATTGATTAAAGTTATATGCTGCCCATTTCACTGCTGGAGTGACTTTCAAGGCAGCTTTCAGATTTGCTATGAAGATTTTCCTTGCCATAATAAACCTGACATATAATGATCATCTTGTCTTTTCCTTGCCTCCCTCTCAGCCAGTCCTACTACTGGGAATACCTCCTATGTGAGATCCATTGCAGTATACAAGCAGTTATTACTCCACTAAGACATTTCCAGTAGCTTGTATCCAAAAGAGTTAAATCAAAGCAAGACTGCCGGGAGCTCATGGCTCCCTCTTCTTCTTTTATCATGATGCAGTGAGGTGGAGGGTTCCTTAAAAGGGAGAAAACTTTGTAAGGGGTTGCAGTGACTGAGGCCAGTCGAGGTTATGTTGTCAGCTCACTGGGTGTGTGTGTTGTATTTTATTGTTGCACTTTTCCTTTCAATCATTTTGCCCCATACTGCTTTGAACAACTTTTCAGCTTGACACTTGGAAAAAGCCAAGTTTTCAAGTGGGATCCAGATGTCTAAATAAAGATGAACAAATCTACCACTGCCCTATGATGTGCTCAAATGTCATATGCCTATCTTTCCCTTGTCTTCCTTTAAGCCAGTGCCACATTATCTTGTAATGTGACCCATTATAGGACATTTTCCTGGAAGTGGCCGACTTTGACTATTAAAGAGGAGCAATTGTATTAGACTGGGTTTGCTGCTATCCTGTTTCTTCTTTTTTTCTTTTCTTTTCTTTTCTTTTCTTTTCTTTTCTTTTCTTTTCTTTTCTTTTCTTTTCTTTTCTTTTCTTTTCCTTTCCTTTCCTTTCCATTACTACAAAAATACATACAGTTTATAGAGCACAAGAAACTAAATACATACAGTATAAGCAAATAAACAAAACAATAAATTGGTCATGTAGAAGCTATGACAAAATAAGTAAGTTTTTATTTGATATTTGCAAGAGCATGTGTGTTAGTGCCAGGTTTTCCATCTAGAGAAGAATTTCAAGTCCCGTCTGCATGGCTCCAAAATTTTATATATTATATACATTCTACAATATTTGCTCACATGCCTCTTTTCTTCAAACAGTCCCATTGATAGTATTAAAGCCAACCGTTTATCTCCACACCCTTTTTATGTCATATGAGATACTTTTATGTCATATGAGATACTTCTAGGAAGGTAGAGTGGTTGAAATATTGGCTGAGGCACTTACGCTCTGACAGATCACTTTATTATTAAAACTGGGGCGGTTTTCAACTCAACTCTTGCCTACCAGACTTAAAGACTCTGCTAGGGCAACAGGGTCTGTGGTATATAGAGATCTTGCTTCTCTCAACGGCCCTAAAAACGTGGTATTACAACAAGGGAACCACAAATGGAGGTGAAGCCAATCAAGTGGCTGATTCGAGTGTGTTGTTGCAACCATGGGGAAGGGAGGATAGTTTATTATGAGTTTTTATTATGCAGTGGATTTTTAAAATGTTTTTTTAATGTTTGATAAATGTTGGCATACAACATTTTAAAAATCCATCACATTGGAGTCACCTATGAATGAATTGAGCAGCTATATTAATTTGTTAAATAATAAATTAATAAATGTGTGGGTTATGTGAATAGGAGGGTAGGGTTAGCATCAAAAGTGACTGAGTACTGGTGCAAGTCGTATTACCTGCAATTGCCTATCAAATTAACTATCAGATAGTATTTAAAAAAAATACTAGAAGAATCTGAGGTGAATTTTCCAAAGAAAATCCGATTCCCATAAAAATGGGGTCAGGGCCATGAGAATTTATTTTGCTCCTCAGTGCTGCCTATTTTTAATGTCCAAGAAGGCTGGCACAGATTGCAGGGCTAACTTTTTGAGAGAAGACAATGAGCCTGATCATGGTTTGTGCAAAGGACCTTTTCCCCAGCATTTGCTCTGAGGAATTATTTTCCTTTCAGGAGTTCCCCTTAGCCTTTTTTTTTTGCTCATTCACTTTTGGCTAGGATTTCTCTATTGTCCAGCTGCATTCCGAGAACTCTTTTTTGCTTCTGAGGTTGGTTTAGATTGGATCTTCCCAGTGAGGTTTTGATCTCACCTGTTCAATTAGCTGAGATCTCCTTCCTCAAACAGAGACTCTCTGCGTAAAAGCAAAATTTTCCCCCTTCCCTCTGGTTTGACAAAATGTTTTGTTTGGGGAAGTTTAATTAGTTAAAATTATTTACTCAGAGGAATCAGTGGATTGCTGAGTTCATATTAAATCAAGGTCACTTTAAGAACGGATTGGGAAACATGTAACGTGTTTGCCAAGGAAGGGCATTTTGTATGCAGAATATTAATTGAGTTGTTCAAGAATAGATGATCTCAATGCTCAGACTGCCGGTGTTTGCCATGCACCTGTGCTGCTAATGGCAGCATAAAAAAAGAGAGAAAGAAATTAGGAGTGAAATGTTTTCTACCCACATTTGGAAAAGCCTCAACTGCTAAATTCCTGCAGGTAGCACAGCTGAAGCAGGGCCACAGGAGAAAAAGAAAGCACCTTACTCTTGCATTTTCTTTCTTAAATATGAAATTATTTTCTATATGTTTATTTTCTAGTAAAAACAAGCTACTTGTTTATGAACATGTGTTGTGCTCTGAATCCTAGATCTGTTGCTGCTAGTGCGCTACTGGAAGACATTGGGGGATTCTCTTTTCGTTTGCCACCACTTGGTGGCACTATATGCTTATGGATATGTATTGGTTAGTTCCAGAGATCTTTAATTTTTCTGGTGGGTGGGGTGGGGGAGAGAAGACTTTATTCTTCTTCCTTAAAAAAAGGCTGTGCTTCTTCAACATGCTTCAGTGCCTTCTGCAGTGTCCATCACCTCAGCATCCTCCAATCCAACTTCTATGAGCAAACATTTTCTGGTATTTGCCATCTGCTCCCTCCCAATCACCTGAAGGGTGAGACAGTTATCTTCTCTATGTTGCTTTTAATTGTGCAAATCCCAGACCTGTAAAAAGGAGGCCAGATGCAGAGCAATCCTAAGAATGAAGAGACCTAGGTTTGTTATGCAGTAGAAATAAAATGTAAAGAACCGAGGATGGCAAACCCTAACTCTTTGCTACCATCTAGTGGTCGCCTGGCTTTTGTTCTCCTCATTCAGAAGACACATACAATACAGGTAGTCTGCGACTTACGACCACAATTGAGCCCAAAATTTCTGTTGCTAAGGGAGACACTTGTAAGTGAGTTTTGCCCCATTTTACAACTTTTCTTGCCAAAGTAGTTAAGTGAATCACTGCAGTTAGTAACACAATTGTTAAGTGAATCTGGCTTCTCCATTGACTTTGCTTGTCAGAAGGTCGCAATGACCCCGGGACACTGCAACCGTCATAAATATGAGTCAGTTGCCAAGCCTCTGAATTTTTATCATGAGATCATGGGGAATGCCGCAGTGGTCATTGAAAAATGGTCATAAGTTACTTTTTTCAGTGTTTTTGTAACTTTGAATGGTCACCAAACAAACTGTTGTAAGTCGAGGACCACCTATACAATGGGGGACTGGAATCTTTAGAGGAGAAGGTGTTAGAAGCCTTGAACTTCTGAGGTGGTGCCCTTTAAATCATGTTCGTGTTGTAGATTCCCAACCAAAAATGTGAGATATCTGACTTCCCTTAAAAACACATCCATTCATGCTTCTAAGATGCAATGGGGAAACAATGTCCTTCCAGAATTCTGCTCTACTGATCCATTCTGTGGTCCAGAGGGCATTCCCTGCCTAGATTGTACACACAATTTATTCCAAAAAATAAAGCCCATCCTAGAATAATACTTATTTTAGGGTAAAACCTATTCCAAATGAGTCACAAAAATAAAGTTTGCTGATTGTAAAGATTTGATTTGATATAATAAATATTAGGAATAAGAGAATATTTAATGAATCCAGCATTTAAGCCTCCCTATGGCAATTTTAAAAATCAGACATCTTTCAGAGTAATCATATAATGAACTGGTATAAAGACAAGTCAGGGAAAAGTCAAGGTTTAATAATTAAATCCCCAGGCTATGCTAAAACCTAGAAGTTATCACACTTGAGTGTGGAACCCCAAGGAAAAATGTTCTCTTTAGTGTTAGAAGTTTGAATTTCTACCCAACGAGAAGTTTGGCATATTATCCCTACATCTGTCAGATAGTTTTGGATCAACTGTATTGTGCCCAAATGTTAAGCCAGTATAGCAGAAATTATAAAACAATTTCCTGAAATCTTTGATTCCATATAAGAAAAGAAATATCACAGTTGGCTTTGTGAATCTATCATACAATCCAAACTGATTTGAGCTGAAAAGGTGCCTTCCCGATCTCCAATTGTCTCTGATCATACGAGAAGACACAAATATAGATTTACATGTAGCTACTAGAAAGTGAACCACTTCAACAAAGTGGCAGAGAACCCAGGTAAAAATAAAATATGCAGTTTCTCCTCAAAGTTCCTTTTTCATCTTGAAATATGAATGAAAAAAAAATCACCGCATATCAATAAAGAGGGAGTATAGAGAAAACTTCTATGCTCTACATCAGGGGTGTCAAACTGCTGGCCCACGGGCCGGATGAATCATAGCAAAACTGCGCCTACCCCATTGCCGGCAATGGCAAAAAAAGTTACGATACGTGATGACACATCATGCGACGTTGCAAGTTTGGCACCCCTGCTCTATATGAATGCTGCAGGTTCCTATGAGTCACCTAGAACTGAATATGAAAGCCCAATAAGCACAACGTTATGGGAAAGATGATAGATATAGATAGATAATAAAACCAATTAAAATAAATAAAGAAAAATAACATATATAAGACAAAATTATGTAATAGTGAAATTTACATTTAATAAGGAAAAAGAAATGTTAAAATGTATTTCATATATAAAATCAAAAAATGACCCAATTGTTCAAATATTCTTTTTATTGAAAAGGAAGTGGAAGAGGAGAGGAAAGTTGACAGATGATACTTAATCAGCGGTCCTCTTCTGTAGATTAGGGTATAGATTTAGTCTTCCAGTGTTATATAGTAATTTTGTGTGTGAAAAGTCCACAGTTCCTGTTGTACTAATAAATTCTAAAAGTTGGGAATATAGAATGTATATATCCTTTACTAGCAATTATTGATCTAAGGTCATATTTAAAATCATGTGAATTTAAGGCCAGAGTATGTAACGGTCGAGCAGATCGGTTGAATTAGTGTTTCAATTTCTAAATTGCCTGTCCTGATTGTGTCCCCTCCTTACTCAACATTTTCTGCAGTTTCTAATATACACCCAAATAGTTCAGTCATCTTCTGCCTACTTTAGGATTAGGACTCAAAATTGTTTCTCACAAAACCCATGAGAACCGTGGAACTTAAGAAGGAACAAAGGCACCAGGGCCGAAGAGCTTGAGCAAGTGCTTAAGTTGAATAAACTACCACTGAACAGACAGCCAAAAATTTGATAAACCAAATTAGTTTTAAAAACAGCTATCATAAGACATAAGTTGAATTAAAATTGTAAGAGACCCAGTTTACCTTCCAAACAGATCTATTGACTGTTTTTAAATTGGAAGCACCCATTATTTCATGGTAAAAGTATCAATGTTATGTCTGCAACCTAAACTTTCCTGAATATATTTTGTAGCATTAAATGTAAATATTGATACTGATCTTTGGGGAAAAAAGGAATGTTTTAGTGATAGCAGCATGTCTGCCTATATTAGTCATCTGTTCTGTTGCTGTCTAATATATTTTACTTTTCTTTCTTTCTGGGAGAAGGGGAGATTTGAGATATCTGCTTAGAACTTTAAAGATTCAATGAAAAAGGCAAAGTCTTTAGTATGGCCATGGGATGGTAAAACCAAAATCTGAGATATTTCTTTCCTTTACCATAGAGTCGTGGGGTGCTTCCCTATTTTGCCAACTTCCGTCTCCTTTCGGAATTCTCTACACCCTTTGTGAATTTGCGGTGAGTTTGGTGATATAAGAAACAAAATGGGTGAATTCAATAGCTTGCCCAAGAATGTGCACCAGTTTCTTGAAAAGGGGGCCCTTGTATCTATGTTCTAGGGATGGACAGCAATCACTATACTCCTTCCCCATTAAAGCCACAGGACTGAGCTCAACACCTCAACCCGCTGCATGCTCATATCTAACTATTTTAGTTACCTGTTGTAATCCTGAGGGTGATTTTTATGCTGTTGCTCTTCTGAGGGAGGCGGAGAATCTGAATGGACTAACATCCATTTGATATTTTTTTTAAATTTTGTGTTGCCTCAGGTGGTTCCTGGATGCAGCTGGCTGGCCACGTACTTCAAGGCTTGTTTTGGCCAATGGCTTAGCAATGACTGTAGTGTTCTTTATGGTGCGCATTGCTGTCATCCCCAGCTATTATATGCAGGTGTACTCTTGGTATGGAACTCCTGAATATGAGCGTTTGGGCCTGGGTGTACAACTGGCCTGGATTGGGCCAAGCATTGCCTTGGAAATGCTCAATTTGGTCTGGATGTACCGCATTGTCCGTGGCTTCTACCGAGCTTTATACCGGTCTAAGACCTACAAGGCAGCATGAAGAAAGAAAAGTGGTGCTACTTGACCTGGAAGACCCATGTTCTGCTGGACAAAGATGGATTTCCTTTTCTAATTCCCTTAGAAGCCATTAGCCCTAGGAATTGCTCCTGACTATGTCCTTGGGGAGAGAATCCCAGAATCATTAAAAAGGGAGCATATAGTTTTCCATTCAGTCAAAGAAAGGTCTTGGCCAAATTGACTAGATTCAGCAATTTGCCATCTTCTAGAGATGGGGCCATAGAAACACTTCACAGGGCTGAAAGCAGGCAATTTTAAAATGGAGGTATATTTAGTCTAGGGATTCCTTTGGCACAAATGGGAATGCTTGGGAGACACAGTGGTCAACAGTTTCCTGGTTTGGGGGACTCTGCTGATACTCCACAGGACTTTTGAATGAGACTTCACTACTAAACAGGTTGTGTTTCTAATAGGTTCAGGAATTTAACCTCTTTCAGCTATTAATCTGTCCAGGATGATGATCAGGTACCATTTCCTCCTTGGAAGAAAAGACTGGCTCTGGGGGAAGAAGATATAGGAAATATATATATGAAAGTTATCTTTCCTTGATTGCCAGTTTGCTAGGGACTTTTGGGCCATGTTTAGTGGTAAAGTGGATGGAAAATAGTGAAGGGGTGAGGGAAGAAATAGTGCCCAGTTATGACTACAAACGGTGGGATTTCCCAGGACCCAGTGGCCGGATTTCAGGACCTTGGTTAGAAGGACAGCAGTACTGTAAATAGCATCCTTGTTTTACTAAATCAACTGAAACCTGGCATTCCATTGAAGAAACCTGCTGATGCTATAGCGGTTACACTCCTAAAGACCAGAAAACAATAGTTTTAAAAAGGCTAGCATCAAGGCACACTTGCCTTTGCTCAGTGGTTTGGATAAATCAAAACCATAGTGATATCTGTTGCCTCTGAATGTGCCAGGAATTTAACTCCCAAAATCCCTATCCATTATGGTTGTATTCCATTCTGGTGTTATTCCTTCTTGTGCTCACCATTCTTGTATATGACAATCACATCTTCCCAACAATAGTTTACAGTGAAAGTTTCTTCACTCCCAAATGTATGCCTCAGTGAATGCAGCCTCGTGGAAGGGTATAGGCACTACCACACTAGGCTGAACGTGTTTGATTTCATTGTTCTCAAGAGTCTAAACAAATAGCTAGTGCAAGATTCCCTTTCCTCTAAAGCCATTGACAGAAGCTTCTTGTTTTCCCCTCGGTGTTTCTATGTCTTTCTTCTTCTGTTATAGTTGTTTTTCATCCTGATACATGCAAACACAGCTACCAGTACAGAGACAGGATATCATGATATTGGCTTTGTATCAGAGCTGACAAAAGTGTAACAGTAAGATAAGGCAAATCTTAATAATAGAATTCATTTATGAATTTTGAAATCTGTGAATTCCAACAGATGTCAGGGTCAGAGGACTAGTTGAAACTTAGGTAGCATCAACACAAACCTAGAAGAACAACAGCATTGTAGAAAATTCCACAAACCTACTAATGCCTAATTTGCTAATCTGGAATAGCACACCACGCTGATGTAGAAGGAGTATGCCTATGTGTTGCATGGCTAGCAATTGCTAATTTTTGAGAAAGAGTAAATCTAATCTATCTAAAGTCATCCTTAATAACAACAGCATTTAAAGAAAATGTATATTATTCTATTGGCTGTGACTAATGGATTCAAGTCTTCCTACCTTTTTCTTTATTTAAAGTACATTAATAAAATAGGAGGTGGCCATCTGTGAAAACCAGCTGTACTGTGATTGGTGGATAGTTTCCCACCAACTGTTGTCATTCAGAAAAGGGGAGGGCAGGAAGGCCAGAGGGTTTAATCCAGGGGTATCAAACTGCTGGCCCGCGGGCTGGATGCGTCATGCCGGCCATCCCATTGTCGACAATAGGAAAAAAAGTCATGATATATCGTAACACATCACATGACGTCGTGAGTTTGACACCTGTGGTTTAATCAATGGGTTTGCCTAACATGCTCTGCACACCTAGAATCAGGACACCATCATAGGGCGTCAATGCTATAGAGGCATCTATATAGGTCAACAAAAAACTTTATGGTTGCTTCATTTTTGCCAACTCAAGGATGAGTGGATAGTACTTTAACCAAAATATGAGGAAAGGCCCTAGATTCAGAGACCATGAGTTGCTTGCTTAACACATTGATTTTAAAGTAGCACTTGAGAGATAAATTTGGCTTAATATATAGTGTGAACATAGTCAATAAGAGACTTCATACCCAAGGCATTCCAGAGAGAGAGAGGCTTGATTACAGAGCTCTAGAAGCATTTGATTCTGGTTGCATGAGATGCCTAGAACATGCTTGGCTTTGTTGAATGTCGTTTTTCCTCTGATTTTAGATTACTCAATACTTCATGCTCCTTCAGTACAGTATGTTGATTCTTTGTGATGAAAGCCTTTGACTATTCATTCTTAAAACTTCCTTATTTAGATACCAGATCATTAGAACTCCTTAGCCCTTGGGTTAAATCCAGGTATACAGTACCAGGCCTATTCTTCAGAATTAAAAGTCTCCAGGAGACTTGGTTCCACAAGACCCATTGACCTCCTAGTTGGTTTCATAGGAGAATTTTCAGATGGATTGGGCTCCACAGTTTTGAAAAACCAAAACTGACTCCAGGTGCTAAATGCCTTAACTTGGTAAACAAATGCAAGCGCTCTAAGATTGTTTCTTAAATTTATAGTATTTAAAAGTATTTGGTGCTAGGGGAATGAGCCGTGATCTTTAAACAGAAGCTGAACAGCTTTGTTCCTAAATATGTGCCTTAAAACAACTTTGCCAAACAGTTACCAACCTCAAATAGGCTGCCTCATTTTGTTGCCTTCCAGTTGTATTAGACTGCAATTCTCAGCAGCAGAGTTCCCAGCAGCATGAAAACCCCCTCCCTCCCTCCCTCCCTCCCTCTCCTGCTTGTAATTGTGGGAGCTATAGTCTCAACATGTTGGGAAGCTATCAAGTAGGGGAAATTGTCCTAAAAACTTGAAAAGGCCCTCTCAGTTTTTAGATCTCTACATCCATTATTCTATTCAGATGGGCTATGCCTCGTATATAGCAGTGAAAAATTATTGATTTTTTTCCCTGCAATTTTGAATAATTAAATTCTCACAATGCAGTGTTTGTAATTTTCTAACTGGAATCAATGAGTGTTAATTTAAATAATATAAATAAATAGTATTAATTTATTAAACTCCCCACTCCTCTGTTTTGATCTTATGTGAGCATCTGTGAATTGTACTTTGTGGATGTTAAATTTCAGCCTGAGCTGCGGGTGTGGATATATTGATGAAAAAGTCTGCTTGCACCATATATGGATAGATGGAACTTAAAGGCCACATCCCACTATGCTTTACTGAATTCCTTCTTAACATATGCCTAATGTAGTCTGTCAGGCATCCATGTTGCGAAAATGAGAGGAAAGCTCATTCCAGGACAAAAGTGCTGCTGCTTCTACTACATTGCCTTCTATTCCCCCCCCCTTCCTTTATGTATTATTATAGCTTTGGATTTGTGTTTCTATTAAGAGCTAAGTGTCTGTTGTGTAGTAAAATCACACAATGAACCCAGCCTGGCCTTCTGCCAAATTTGTTGCCTACAAGATCTTGGGGATATCTGTGAAACAATGAAACAGCTGGTGAGTGTTGTGAAGCAAAAAAAAAAAGGAACAGGTTTCAATCCAAACAGACTCCAGACAAGATGTCCTCCGTGGTCAAGCAAGAGGAGAATAATATTCAAAGCTTAGTTTTCCCTTTCAAATTTTTTATAAAATCAGGTGAACTTGGAATATATTTGTAATTATGGAGGGTTTTTGTCTATGTTTCCATTTGTTGTGTCACATTATTCCCCTCCCCCATTTTGTTTCTGTGTGGTAAGTTGTTTGTTTTTATTTTATGTAAGTCTGCTTGGAAATGAACTACTATTTTTTTAAGTGAGCAAAGTGATTGCTTTTGGAACCAACTCCTGGCAACTTAAAGACAAGAAATAACCTTTGGGTTCAGTAGGTGTCCCATTCATAATTTTGGTGTAAAGTTGCTATGAGACTTAATTTTTGCTGCAACAGTCTAGCATGACTACTGCTGTGGAAATCTGGAATCTCTGAGAAATCATACAGCAGCAATATGGGATCGTTGCAGACAAAGACCTAACCTGGCTGAGGCTTGGACCGAGTTCATACATTTTCCTGCATCATGGTTAATTTAGTGAATAGGCCAGTTCACTAGATTGCATAGAACAGACATGTCAAACACAAGGCCCGGGGTCCGGATGCAGCCTGCGAAGTGGTTTCATGTGGCCCGCAAAGCCATCCTGGAAACTGAGAGAATGGCCCCCGCTGCCTTGGCCCTGGCCCAGGCCTGCTGGGAGCCAATGTACAATTTTGTGGTGGCCATCTATGCTGAAACGCATTCAGTCTTAGCTCCACAAGGCCGTCTAGAAACAGAGAGGAACCAGCCCCTGCCATGTCAGCCTTGCCCCCTGGTGCATGCTGGGGAGGTGTCATCCTTTGTGAGGAATGAAGAAATGGACCATGCCTTGGCGCTTGCCCCGGTCCCACCCCCTTCTGCCAGAGACCCTCAGATCTGTCCCACTCCAGCCCAGGCACCCACAGGCACCCTTGACGCGAACGATGTAGAGCTGGCTATGCCCACCCAGTAGGCCACACCCACTCCATCCACACCCACCCTGTAGGCCGCACCCACTCTGGCCACCCCCACCCCCCCCGAGGGCAACTGCAATGCTGATGCGGCCCTCAATGAAATTGAGTTTGACACTCCTGGCATAGAACAAGGATGGGCAGCCAGAGCCTTTGGGTATTATGACCCTCTGCTCCTCTTTTCTGGACCTTCCCTGGGCCCTCTCTGATTGCAGCTGTCAAAAATCAATGGTGTTGTTTTTGGCATTTTGAAGTAGGAAAGGGGGGTGCCTGTCAGGTGTCATGAAAAATAAGAGCCACTATTTTGATATTT